ATCAATGAATAATTTACAATTAAAATTAATTAATAATCTGAAATTAATAATTTATAATCAATATTTACTAATAATAATATATAATAATTAATAAAACTAGAGATATAATTGAGAAAAACTAACAAAAGACTCGTGAAGTTTATTGAAACGCTACTCCAATTATTTTGGTTATAGTAAGCTTTTAATATTTTTTTTTTTGGTTAGAGTAAGGTACCGTTTACATGGGTAAGCGCTTACCAAGTCACTTTACTTTACCAAGTAAATTCTTGGTCATCAAAGTAACAAAATATAGACGTCTTTTTACCCGATGAGCACTGACCAAGTTTAAGTTATCACCTTTATTTATTGGGTAAGATTTTCAATTAGCAAAAAACACGATAAGATTGTTGACAAAAACAAACATTTCTTACTGGATAAATACCTCTTACATGATACGAGACAATGTTTACTTATTCTAGAAAATACAGCAAGGGCCCTTTTCAGTTGTGGTATTTTGGTGCGATTTGAAATTGTATTGCATTCCAATCACACGTTTGGTTCAAAGAAAAATGCAGAATTGAAATCCAGAACATTAGATTTTGAAAATTCCATGGGGGTAATTCATATAATCAGCTTTATCCATACATATAAAACCATCATGAAAGCCTCAAAATTTTTATAATTGACCTCCTGCCAATCCATGCCCAATAGGGAAATATTTGTAGGTCCACCTCACCCTCAGACCCAAAAGCCCATGACATAGAGAATACGTTGCTCTGCCCTACTGCTCTCACTGGCTCCATCGCTCCGCCCATATCACCAATTGGTAAATCGATATTATGGGGTTTACTCCATATCTTTTTAATTTTCTGCCTTCTGTTAAGTCATCTTTCAACTCTATTCTATTCTCGAAAAGAGTCAACACCTAATAACTGAAATTTGTTTTATTAACCTGGATATCAAACCACTATGCGAGCCGACTAATCCCTGAGCGACCACCTGCTTTACAGATAGCCCCAAGTCACCGCATTTGAACCTCCATGGCCACAAGTGGATTTTTATTCCTCCTTCGATTTGACCATAGGACCTCCTGGAAGTTTTGACCTTTGGATTCAAGCTCAAACCAATCAGGCACCACCCCTGTGGTTAACTTGAATTACTTTTGGATGTTTTGATTACTTGATGCTTTTAGTACTTGCTTCTATAATCTTAAAAGACTCGTTAATATGTCGAGTCGAGCTCGAGTTCAAGCCCAGCCAATTCGAGTCGAGTGTTGACCGAGTCGACCTCGAGTAGCTAAGAAATTGTCTCGTATCGTTTGCACCCCTGTTCAAGTTCTTGGGCATGGGGGACATGGGCCGTCGCCCAGGGCATCATTAGCCCAAGTGACGTCAGGCCCAAGCCCGCTATACTATACCTCCTCCGCTCGTCGGTTCCAGACTTCCAGTCCTCGCTTCCTCGGCCGGCGGCTGATCTCCATTTTCCAGACTCCGTCCTCGTCTTCGTCTTCCCTCCCGGCTTCCACTCCGGCGCTCCGTCTTTGGTCTTCCCCTTTCCAAATCGGCGCTCCCTCTCCGTCTCAGGTAGTCTTCGCTCTTCTTCCCCTTCCCTAATTGGTACCTTTAATAGGCTAACCAGGTTGCATCATGTTCAATTGTTCATGTAAGTGTGATTGTGTGAAATTAACCTTATGGAATGTGAGTCCGTTTGTAAGTGTGAAACTGATTGGATCATGAACGAACAAGTGAAACAAATTGCATCATGTTCCATTAAGCATTAAGTTTAAAACAAATTACCGTACACTTCATGATCATGTGTTCACAAAAATAATCTTTGTATGAGTTTTGTTGATGAATTTCTTCAACAGTCGTGACAGTACACTTCATCCTAGATCTGTGGAGTTTTACATATGGAAGATCTTAAGGTTGCTGACTTGCTTAGCTTTAGAACTTCTTGTAGGAAAGAAAAAGAAGTGAACAAGACATATTAGGTGAACGTTCCCACTYCAACATATACGTATAATATATAAATATTTGAGCATTGARATAGGTGTACGGTGAAACGAAGTCACTGTCTGAGTAAGGTGGACTAGCTGTCAGACRAAACAGAAAACAGAGGGCTGTGTCTCCTCATTTATCACACTTTGAAGCACTACAAATAGGCTTCCTAACCCTCATATGAAATGATCAACTAATTGAACTAGAATAGGATGTGCTTCTCCTTTCTAAAGTTCATATTCTCTAGTTGGAAAGCAAAGCAAAGTCTCCCCTAAAACTCATAAAAACTACGTTGGAAACGGGAGGGAAGAAGGAGTTTTAGACCAAGAATCAGGAGCCTGAGATTGTGGATTTTGAGTGACTATTTCAGGTAAATCATTACGYTTAAACCTCCAATATTTGTTGTTGATGCTTAGAGGTATTGTACAAGTCTATTTGTGGGTCATATTAGGTACAACCATGGCCATCTCAAACTCTTATGTGTCTCCATTTAGTTAAAGTCGTTCTAGAAGGTTGGGACTTGGGGTTGGGTTATTAATATTATGATGTTGGAAATTGAAACTCACCAATCGACTTGGAAATTCCAAACAATTTATCCCTTATAAATTGTATTTGTRGTCGTATAATCGACCCAATGTTTATGATCACCAAAACCTTTAGAGAGGCCATATTTATTATAGAAATCATATGCAATCTTTAGGTTATCAAAGGTTCTACTACTAATTGAATTCCCACTAAAGCCATCAGAAATAGTTGATGGTCTCAACTCTCAACTTCTCTATCATTTTGTATGTGATATAAATTGTTATCAATTTCTTCTATGAAAGCATATTGAGCATTATCATTTGAATTACAATGAGGATGAAATTAAACAAGACAAACATCACTAAGTTAAACAAAACAAGTTTCACAAATTAATGGGACAAACAGGATTATACTTGTCTCAGTTACATTGTTTTTTTTATTAACCTGGATATCCAACCCACTATGTGAGCCGACTAATCCCAGGGCAACCACCTGCTTTGCATATATCCAACCCTTCCCAAACCCTACTCGGATATACTTGGTTTGTTTGGTTTGGTTTGGTTTTATATTCTGTGACCGATAACAAAAGGAGGCCCAGTCAACAAAGACTCCTCGGCTTTGTGAGGGTTGTCGATGGAAATCTTTGTAGCCAACCTTTTCATTCCATCTTGCAAAGAGACTATTTTCATGATTCAAATCATGGATCTTCCAGTACTGTAAGAGAGAAAAGCATCTATGTTTGATCTTTATTTCACCTTACACGAAAAAGCTAACACCAAATTATGTAAACAAATCCTGAAATTT